TCATGATGATGTAAAGATCTTCTCGATCGGAGGATTCTTCGCGGTGGCCGGCGGCGGCGGCCGGCGGTGGCCGACGGCGGTGCCGGCAGAGGTCACATGCTGGAGACTCGTCTCGACGAGAGGATTCTAATGGTGCTCCCAAATTTTTCACAGCCCTAGCGGATCGCCGGAAAAACGCATTTGAAGGTCAAATGTTGACCAAAATTCCTTAGATCCGGAAAGTTTGACCAACCAAATCGAAGGCCTTCCCGGATGAATTTTCGCACGAAACTTTAAGGAGAGATTCACCTCGACGAGATCTACCCGTTGACATAAACAATTTTACGTTCCGAGCACTTTGGCCGACAAAGTCGAAGGAGAATTTTCATGATTTTTCGATCGGAACTCTTTTGGCTTTTCGAACGGGGTCCCACAGACGGCGCCAATGAAGTGAATAAGATTTCACTCGGGCTTCTTCAACTCGGACGACCACCGAACCTTCAAAACCCAACTCCGGGAGAAGTCCCGACGTCGGGCCTCCGACGCTCAAGTCAGTATCACTCCAAATCCCCAGAGTATAATTATGAATGCCGAGAGAGTGTGAGAATGGGATACCTTAGCCCCCTTTTATAGAGGGAGTGTACCTTATGGCCCAAGTTGGGCTTGTCCATTACCTTATGCCACGTGTCCTAGCCATGTGTAGGCTTATTCTTCAACATATTCCCTTTTTATCCATTAAAACCGGTCCAGTATAATATCCTATATCAGAACTAAACTGAAAAAATAATTGGTATAGTTTTATAATTTTTACAAATATTTGTACCGAGTTTTGAATCGAACAATCATATACCGTTTTGAATCGAATAACTGAATTAAGAACGTGATTACAACAATGTGTCTTTCATGAGTAGCTCAGTTGGCAGCACTTCTCACTTGAAACCAATAGGTCTCGAGTTCGAATCATACAGTTAGTATTTTTAAAATACTTAGCAACTTATTGTGATACATTTAACTTCACTTAAATTTTATGTTGAATAATACTTGATCTATAATTAATTGAAAAATGTATTGATATTATATTTGTTGACACTTTTGTTAGTCTTGTTTCATCTTATAATTAAAATGGTATGAAAAGTTAAAGAAATATTTACAAAAGATTATATTACATTTTATTTGGATTTCAAAGTTCCATCATTAGTTGCACAAATTTAATCATAACTAAATTTTTGAGATACTTTTATATTTTTTTAAAGTTGATTACGAATAAAATCTTTAATATGGTTAAGTATTGATGAATGTTTGAATTTTTTTTTTTAAAAAATATCAAAATATAAATATGTCTAGATAGCCATTCGAAAAAATTTAGAAAATAATTAGAAACTCTATAGCTCCGAACCGAACCGAACTATCTAGATAGTACCGAATACCGAACGAAACTGTACTATCTAGATAGTACCGAATACTGAACCAAACCGTACAAAAAAATAAAAATCTCCAAACCGAACCGATTTTTGGTACGGTACTAGAAATTGAATTTTAGTGATCTTTGAATTTTTGTACGATTATGTAGATTTCTTAATCTTTGAACCGTACCGATCCATGTTCACACCTAGTGTTAACGGTTTAAAATTAATTGAATTGCTATTCACCGCCTCCTATTACTACCTATCGCCCCCCTAGACGATTTTGCCCTTGACATAATTTCAGATTTTTTTTACTAAAAAAAATCTCTCTCTCAAATTCTCTCTATTCACCGCCGCCTCACCGCCCCCCAAAAAAATTTCAAAAATTGGATAATCCTTGCCACGGCCGAGGCAAAGGTTTCATAATTCNTTATATTATAAGTTAGAAAAATTATATAATATAACACAGGTAAGTCGCACAAGTAACAATGAGTCATTCTAAAATATATATTAATATATATATATTTGCAAAAGGTACTTAAATTTTAAAACACTTTTTCACATTAATTTTAAAATTTAAGAATAAATTTTTTAACAAACACCAGTGTAATACACGGGTGTTTTACTAGTATAATATATTCCATACAAGGGAAATAAAATTGGACTCAAGTCACTCAATATACGTTTATGCCATTATAATATGGCTGCAACATAAGTGCAGTGAAACATCGTTTATCCAGATACGGGGACTCTCAACACAATTTTCTCTTAACAGTAGTTATATAATTCAGTTTCTTATTTAGTTCTGTGATCCAGGGCACCTGTAGAAGCATCTACAATGGTAATAATATTTGTGATTGGGAGCTAATAAGCATTGCGAATACTGGAAAACATCTCCCATGTAACTTCTGCATATTTCATTGCATGAAAATGGATTTTCCTTTGGACATTCATCTCCTATGTCCAATTTGCATGTTCCTTTCGCCAAACAATCTGCATTTCCAAAAGCTTAATAACCAAAAACATAAATATAAGATAAAATATTGAAATACTAAATAATATGAAAATAATAACATTTAGATAAACTTTTTAGTATATATTGTTTTCATTGTGCCAACTGTCATGACAGAACAAAATTTTATTTTTATCCACTATACTAGTACGTAGCTCGTGCGATGCACAGATAAATAATATTAAATAATAATTATAAATTAAAAATGATAATAAATAATATTAACTAATAATTATAAATTAAATATGAGGGTAAACAATATTAACGAATAATTATAAATTAAGATATGGAGTTAATATGTGACATAATTTATTGTATGTTAGTTGTAAACAATATAAAATTATTTTGTATAAAATAACATAAAAATATATATGTTTAAAATATTAAAAAAAAAAACCTAAAATACTATATAACGTATGTAAAGTATCTAAAATTTTATATATCATTATTGAAAGATGTGAACTTATCTAAAATTTTTCTAAACTATTTTGTAAACAAAACATGTCTAAAACTATTTAAAAAAATCTGGCCTACAATATATTATTCAATTTCCAAAAGATGATTATAAGTATAAGTTGGAAGTTTAGAATCCACGTGAGTATTAATTTAGAGATACGTGTACTATTCAAATTACTGATTATGTTCATTTCCTGTGAACTTCATATTGATTTATTGATTTTATTTTATTTCCAAACAAAGTTGATCGTCTCATTTTGTTTTACCATATATTTGTGGAGATTTAACAAAGTTGGTTGCATTTATAAAATGATTTCGATATTAACTTACAATTTATAATGGAGTTTTCAATATTTTGTACTATTAACAAATATTATATTATCATTAATTTTTTTTGAAGTCCACAACTATTGAGACTAAGAATTTGAAAATTATTTTATCTTTTAAAACCAAGTTTAGAAAAACAATAGATTCGTAGACAATAATTGATAAACATTACCAAGTTTATTATCACACGTTCTAAATAAATAAATTATGATGATCCCAGACCTATTCTTCGTTAAGCTGTTCTTCCTTCTTTCCGTTCTTTCCTTTCTTCCTCTTCTGCGCTAGTCAAAAGGCTTTTGACGGTTTTAAGATGGCGATGGTGATTGAGCCGGTGCTGAATCGGTTGAAACTTTCGCTTCTGGCAGATACCTTGATTTCGTGAAACAACTCGGGATCTCACTGAAACATTGGCCCTTGGGGAAAGAATAGCGTTCAATATTTTTTTTGAAAGATACAAATATAAAGACTGATATTCTAAAACTTTTATTACCTTTTGAATTGAGAACTTATAAATATAGAGACTGAGATTTTAATATTGTTTGTTGTTTCTAAGAAAATAAAATAAAAATAAAAAAATGCACACTTAATAGATTTTAGCTGAAATTTTTAAATAATAAAATGAATTAAAGCCCAAAATTTAATGCAACATTTAATGTTGTATGATTTTTTAAAGATAAAAATAAAAAAATAATAAAATTTACTATTTATAGGTTGCATTAAATTCTCTCTTATTTTTTTGCTACTATTTTTGTTAAATGTTAATTCTTATTATATATAATATATATATATATAGATTATGTTGAATCACATCATTTTATTTCAAATTAATCATCTTTCAAAAGGAAAAGTAATTTGAAGATTATATTTTCATATCAAACTTAAATATTCATATTACCAAGTGATTAAATTTTACTTTCATCTTGTCGTTAATGAAAATAAAATTAAAAAAATTGTTAATAAAGTGAAGTCTTTTAATTGAGATTAAAAAGATGTGCTAATGCATAAGAGAAATATTTCAATTTTTTTAATTAGGCTAAATAAAAACAAATGTAGCTATGCCCCTGCCTATAATATCCGAGCATTTTTTTTTCCCACTAACTAATTTCATACAAGACTTGGCGTGCTACGATACCACTAGTGAGTCGTGATTACTTTCTCTTGGGAATATATTCATCTTTCAGACACGAACAAGGAAGGAGACTCACGGGCACCAACAGCCAAAAAGTGTACATACCAAATAATTCAAAACTGATTTCACTTTGTGGCCTACATTTTGTTTGCCTCTGAACTTTTCTGCTAAAAGGCCACCCTAAGAAGCACACAGAATTCCACCTAAATGTTAGTGGAACCACCCGTGACCTCCCCCTTCCACGTCATCATAATCCAATAATCACTGTAGTGCTCCTCCACTTTCCCTACCCCATGCCACAAAATTAAGATTAAAGGCAAAAAAAAATTCACATTTATTTAGGTGGCCAAGGAGTATATCCTCAAATAAAATCTCCTACATCCTTTATATATATATATGATATGATTGGACACATTTATTTATGAAAATTACCATCAATATCAGAGCATAAGTTCAATTCCAATTTGAGGGGAAATTTTTTATTAGTCTTTCCAACTCAAAACTACATATATTACTGGTAATTTTTTGGAAAGTAAAGTTTCATTCAAGGATTAAACAATGCCACCCAACTCCTCCATAAAAATAAAGACAAAAAACGAAAAGTGTTTGCATGAAAANTATATATATATATATATATATATATATATATATATATATATATATATGTAATGGGAAGAGGCAAAAGCTGAGCAAGACAAGACAAGTTTTGCCAATTCACTTCAAACAGAGAAACTTAGGCATCGTTCTCAAGTTTGATCGATTTCTCATAATAAGATGTCCTGTTTTAGACTTACTCTCCAAGTTGCTGCATTAATTCTTGTTGTTTTGATGGTGAAAGCAAGCAACGTAACATGCCATACCAAAGGCATAAGACCCAACAGAGCTTCTGGTGGGAAACAGTTGGCTGTAGTGAACACCACACAAGTGGAATACTCACAACAACAATTCATAAAGTGGGTTGATTTCATGGGCAGCCTCAAGCATTCCCTCTTCAGGACAGCCAAAAACAAGATTTTCCCTTCTTACACTCTAACGGTGGACAGAAATCCATTGTATGGAGACTTCACTTCCATTCAAGACGCAGTTGACTCTATCCCTTTAGTCAATGTCTTGAGGGTTCTTATCAAGGTTCACGCAGGGGTTTACAAGTCAGTTTTCTTCTTCTTTCTTCTTCTTTTTTTTTTTTTTTTTNAGATCATGTTGAATCAATATTTATTAAAAAAAATACTGAATAATAATAAAAAGGCAAAATTATATTTTTAGTCCTGCTAGTTTAACGCAATAGCATTTTTAATTTCAATATTTTAATTTTTTTGTCTTTTGATCCTGTAATTTAGTATTTTGCTACAATTTTAATCCCAAAAGACTGAAATTTTGTTGAATTTTAAAATTATAGGACCAAATAGCAAAAATGTTCAATTTTATAGGACTAAAAAATTGCAATTTTGCCTAATAATAATAATAATTTGCAGGGAGAAAGTGATAATACCGGCACAGAAAGCATTTATAAGCATAGAAGGGGCAGGGGCAGAAAGGACAATTATTGAGTGGGGCGACACGGCCCAGACAAAGGGACCCAGAGGCCAGCCGCTCGGCACTTACGGGTCGGCCACTTTTGCCGTCAATTCCCCTTACTTCATAGCCAAGAACATCACGTTTAAGGTAATTAGCAGTAAATAAGAAGGAATAAAATGGATTGTGATGTAATAATTAATTGATACGATGGTAAGAATGCAGAACACGACGCCCGTGCCAGAGGCGGGGGCAATTGGGAAGCAAGCGGTGGCGCTAAGGATATCCGGTGACACGGCGGCCTTTGTGGGGTGTAAATTTGTCGGGGCACAGGACACGCTTTATGACCACGTGGGCAGGCATTACTATAAAGATTGCTACATTGAGGGCTCCGTAGATTTCATCTTCGGAAATGGTCTATCCTTGTTTGAGGTATGTATAATACTGCCAAAATTGTATTTTTAGTCTTGGTTTATTTTTAGTTCAAAGATTTCAATTTCTTTATTTTTGATCTTATAATTTAGTATTTTGTTGCAATTTTAATCACAAATTTTAAAATTACAAAACTTAAATTGCAAATAAAAAATCCATCCAAATAGCAAAATTTAAAATTGCAGGACTTAAATTGCTAAAGTCGTGTAATTTTAAATTTTACAACATTTTTTGTTCTAAATGACTGAAATTGCGTTGAATTTTAAAATTATAGGACCAAATAGCAAAAATATTCAATTTTTAAGACTAAAAACGGCATTAGATCAAACCAACATGAGTAAAATTGTAATTTTACTAGAATATGTCTGTTTCTCTTTAATTAATTAATTAATTAATTAATTGGATTTAATTAGAATTGCGAGGTGCACGCCATAGCGACGTTGACGGGTGCTGTGACAGCTCAGGGTCGGAGCAGCATACTTGAGGACACGGGGTTCTCTTTCGTGAATTGTAAGGTGACGGGGTCAGGGGCGCTGTACTTGGGGAGGGCGTGGGGCCCATTCTCGAGGGTGGTCTTTGCCTATACTTACATGGATAACATCATTATCCCAAAGGGGTGGTACAATTGGGGAGACCCTTCTAGAGAAATGTGAGTAAACTCGATCTATCAACATTATATTCCATTTTTTATTTTTATTCAATGGTACAATATGCAATGAAAATTCGAGCATATATCCTAATGATATCTGTTAAATGATTCCAACAAAACATTTGGCTGAAATGAACAAATTTTAGTTGGAATTTGATGATTCCAGCGACCATTTTTTCAACAATTTATTTCGTAAGAATTTCTATTGAAATAGAATTTTTGTTTCAACTCATATTTCAACCGTTGAAAAATTCACCGTTAGAATCATCACAATCCAACAGAAATTTTAATAAAAAACTCATTTCAACGAAATATTTTCTGTAGAATCTACTGAAAAATTCCAATGAAAATAATAGTATTGGAATATTGATTGAAATTACTGTTAAAATACCATTAAAGTATATTTCTCTTGAAATTTCATTATTTTCTAATAGAGAGGGATATAGAGGGAGAACAAACTAATGCATGATATCCCCGACTAGTCACAATTATTATTAGTTCAAGAAGGCTTTATAGAAATGGAAGAAATTGATCAAGAGGCATTCATGTCTTCTTTAAAGTATACGAGTGAGATAAAGCAGTGAGGTCAGAGGTGAAAAGAAAAATTTGCACCAATATATTATTCCCCTAACTAGAAACGAAGGGCACTTCTTCATTAAGTCAATTAGACAAGATCATTGTACCAAAAAAAAAAAAAATTAGACAAGAGTTGGAAATTAAAATGCACACCAATCCCGAAACAAAAAATGATTAGGTACTGATTGCATGATAATATGATATCAACCAATCATTCATCTCATAAGGTACTCATCTCATAAGGTACTTATCGGCCCCCACATAACATCTTACAATAAAATTGTGCAAACTTTTCTTGTTCAAACATTATTTTAAGTTGTTCCTCTATACACATATGGTCTCCTACGTCAGTGGAAAAAATTATTTTTGTTTCCACAATAATAATTTTGTAAATTTATCTTTTGCAGTGAACGTGGGGCGCTTCTATTAACTAACTATCTATATCTAAATATTCTGCAGCATCCACTCTAAACTTATACTTTCACTTTTACACATATACTAGTATTCAGACCCTGTGCATTTGCACAAATATAAATAAAATTAAATATTATAAGTTATATTTATGCATATAATATAAAAATTATAGGTTATATAATTGTATTATATTTCAAACATATAGTATTATAAGTTATATTTATGTATATAATATTAAAATTGTAAATTATATAATAGTATTACATTTTAAAATTTGATCATTGGTTAAAATAAATAGTACACACGATTTGATTGTATACGAATCACTATATTGATTGCATAAAATGTAATAAATATATACTTTTTATAATTTTGAGTGATCATGACCAATTAATTAGCTGAAAAATATAACATTTATTATAAATTGCTTATGTGATTTTAAGAAATTTTACTATGACAGAAAAAAAATTAATTTATTAATAAACAACCGCTTCATCATATAAAAAAATATTGATTTTAGTATAAAATATAATTTTATGTAACTTTCATATATTATTTAGTATAAAATACAATTACTAATTTTAATATTAACTATTATATTATTCAATAAAAAATATAATTATTAATCAATTAACATAAAACATAATGGTTTTTGTCTTAATTAACCCAAAAAAATGTAATGAAATATTTTTTTAATAATGAGATTGGGTGTATTAATGCCACATAAATAAAATTTATTAGGTTCTATTTATTAGGTTTTATTAATGATTTGCCACATAGGTAAAATTNA